AAAATATATTTCTGGTATTTCCCAGAACTTTCCCAATTTTGGGAAAATATAATTCCAATATTTTCCCAATTCTGGGAATTTTTCCCATCAATTTCCCATTTGGGAAATTGATTTTTTTTCCTGTGTTCATTATTTAGCCGATAGCTGAAGTTACCTCTAGCCGTTTTCCCCTTTACCAAACGTTCCTCTGATAGCAAGGTCTCTTGCATCTTTATCTTGGAATTCTTTTCCGACCGCAAATTACATAACGATGAACAATAAGCGCATTATTCTAGTAGACAAATTTGACTTGCGCCTACAGGAATGGCTCCGACATGTTTTTGGCCGAGAAAGGTCTGGAGCTGACTAATATATTCTAATTTGCCGGGTTTCCTGTTTATCTACTGACATTCTAACCCAACGGATAAGCTGTCCCACACAATAAAACACCATTTCCAAGAAGAAACATTATGGCAAGATCTTCAGAAATCAGGTTTACACGTCCCATATATATGTATTTGAGCAAAATCTAATTGATAATATTGTGACTTTGTATCAAATATATGCTTGAGAAATGTTTTTAATATGATCTTTTTTATTTTTCCTGGTATTTAACAATACATTTGTGAGTGAGTGAGCTCAAAAACTATTGGAAGTGCAATCACTGTAAAATATCAAAGCAGACTAACGATTGAATGTGAAACTTGTGGAGAATGGTATGACTGGTATTATAAGTTCCTACTTTATTTAATATTCAAAAGAACATTTTTCTGTTTAGATCTGCTTTTTTATTCACAGGGGCTGTGCAGGAATAAAGAATGAACCTGAGTCATAGCATTGGACCTGACAAAAGAAAACCACCACCGTGACTGGTGGACCTTTTTGTTTTGCGCGCTCTCATGGGAATGCTTGAAAACCATCATGATTTGAAATGTAAATAAAAATTATTGAACCATATGAAAAACAAGCAGCAAGACTGGGAAATGAGCACATTCAATGGTCCAAATTTTTGTTTTCACCGTAAGGAGTATATATCTTAACTATTAAACTGGCGGAGGCAGTAGCTACCCACRAGTAGTTTAGACACCCAAATACATGATTGGTAAATTATACGAGAAAACCGCTGTTCACATTCAAACAAACATCGATAGTACTAATTGCACGAAGATGAGAGTAAAAATAACTCAAATTGATAGTACTTCCAACTTTATATTTATTTATTTTCATTTTGATTGTGAAATCATTGCACATACACAGTAGATATTTTTGTCCTGCCATTTTCTTTTGGCAGGCTATAATTTTTTTGGCCTGCCAAGTACTAAATTTGGCCCATCATTTGGCAAGTGGCATGCGCTATTTCGAGCCCTGCTTTATCACTGACGATTTTCAAACAGAGGGGAAAATCAGAGATTTCCATTGATTGTATTTCTGGAACTATAAAACCTTTTACCTGGCGACCTATTATTACTACACAAACTTGTGAGTAAACTTTAAAATCACAATATTTCTGCATCTATAAGGCAGGACTTTACTGAAAGCTCTGCTGATGAAGGGTGTGATATGTTTGCTTACGTACGTCTCCATGACACTATCATCAATCGGTCATCGAATAATGTTTATGAACCCATCCTTGTTTCAAGGATATTAAAAGATCTCAGATAAAGTTAACTTTTCTACATTTTCATTTTTTAAGAACTAGTATGTAACGTTTGGGAGGAAATATGCCAGTCATTCAAGGGGCGATGGATCGGATGGACAACAGGCGTCGTTTCGTTGGGTCGGTAGTCTGTCAAAATTTAGTCTTGTCCAATAGTTTGCTTCAAAAACTTAATCACATCCGACCTTAAAACTTTAGAAGACACTTGTTTATAAAAATAGGTTCTTTAGAAACGAATCTTACCATAGTCATTCTAGTTCTGGTTATGTATTAAATGAGAGTTTACTCGTGATCATCGTAGTAATCGACAAATTGAGGATGTTCGGGATGTTTACCGCATGTTTAATAAAGTTAAAGGGACACTGTCAATGGATGACATGCGCAGTAACAGTCTCACCTCTAACGGACTTTGAAAGTATAACTTTCGAGGTAAATCATTTTGTGGTGCTTTTGACACACTTTGGAATATTCTAGATCTGTTTACGTTTACGATCTGATTTATGTCGAGCCAACTCGGAGTCATAAACTTGAAAACACTAGCCTAGTGTTTTCAAGTTTACTCGCGCATGCGTGCCATTGACAGTGTCCCTTTAAACTAAGTTCAATCATCATCTAATATTTGAATTAAGTCTTTATATTCTCGGTTTGCACATGACGTCATCAGTCGAAAAAAATTCTAAAATCACAGACACACAACATTACAGTACTAAAATACCTTGAAGAGCGTGATGTAAGTTCTCTCTGAAAGTTTCAAGCTTTTTTGCTGTTTATTCGTTGAGTTATTCACGTTCGAAAATATGTCACGCAATACTATCACGCGACTTGAAACACGCCAAATTAAGCTCGAAAAGACTATTAATCTTAAAACAAGTATAGCMTCAGCATTAAATTKAATTTTTAGAATGATATTGTTGGAAAACTGAAGCAAAATCATTAGTTTTGAGCTCATTTCGACACTCGGAGTTACTGTCCGCATGGCTGGTGTACTGGACTTGTACTTCCCATACATTCCCTTGTAAAGTAAGACCGTATTCAAACGCTTATATTTTTGCTAAAAAATGGCAGTTTGACATAACTGTTGGTACTTATATGCTGTTTTTGGTCTCAACGTAAAAAATTCATTTCGATCTTAAAACAAAGTCTTTTGTAGGTATTTCTTGACCTGTCTAAAATGCATTGAGCCGTGATAATCCCATACATTCTTACCAATTTTCGATCGCTCCTATTTCTAAATACTCAGTTTTGTTCCTTCTACGTGTGTTTTAATATTCCGAGCTTTCGGACAACTTGTCCATCATCAGGGCAAAATGAAATTACAATGCGTGCGCGAGGATACAAATGTAAACAAAACACTATGGTAACATAACTGCTTAAGAGCGCGCAATAGTTCAAATCAATTAACATGCTGCGCGAGCATAGAATTACACGAAAAATCATTGGATTACAATAAAAGGATAGAATGTTAAGACTAGTTAATGTGTCAAGAGTTCTTTATAAGAATCAGGCAGAGTTCGTCCACTATTTTTGTTAAAAAGGCAGTTTTTKTTCTTTGAAATCTWTATAGCTTCAAGCCAGCGTCTWTGTATCCATCTAGGTTCTTGGGCGAGGATTGAACATCGCTCCTATTTCTGTTAAAAAGCATTATTTTGGCTCAAAATTTCGTAATGATACTATGAATTAGATGTTCTATCGAGGACAATAATAAAATTTTGCTAATTTGGACTCTAAATAGCACTTTTAGAATGTCACGTGATTAGTGCAAACCAAGAATAAGATACAATGTGATTAAATGATGTTATATAATCATGTTATATAATGTTAAAAGAACACGTAGCGAATCGACTTAACATTCGTAACGAATTTACTTTTTGCATAACGAATTGACTGGTAGCGAATTGACTTCGGAACGAATTGACCGGATACCTTTCAAATGAATAAAAATTCATTTAACACTTTATAACTGATTTTCATGAATCACTGGCCATATATTTTTATGAGAAGAGTAGCATCCAGAAAAAAATTAGGAATATGATATCTATGGTCATTCCCCTTCTAGAAAAAGTAATTTCTTTTATGCTATATCTATTTTCATTTTTCAATTTTTTTGTCCATGATACTGTGAAATGACCCTACTCACTTTTTTTCCTCCAAATGATTGAAAATTATTTCCTTAATGTAGGTGTACACACGCAGCAAATCTCACTTCCCTGACACCACCTTTTTATTATTCTCAGTGTTTGTTTTAGCTCAGCACAAAGTGAACATATTGTTGATGAATTTCACTGTTATCGTTTGATGTTTCAACAGAAAATGTTTAATTTAAATCCTCCTTGACATTGGTTGGTGAAGCATGCGCCTAAAACCTAATGTCGCAAATCAAACGGCCGTGAGGTGACTCTTTCTGTGTTAAATGATCAATGCATATAAATTTGTAAAAACAACACCAATATCTGCAACAATAAAAGCATGTGAAAGGCTTTTGTTACACACAGTTACGATCAATTAATTTTCACAAAATCTATCAGACTGTGTGTTTTTAATAAAACTGGAACAGTAGTCTAATGAAATATAGTTAAGGCTTTGAGAAATTTTAAGGTAGACTAAACAACCTCTCACTCAGTTACAGTTACAATGGGCCAGGGGTATTTGACAAATATTGACATGAACATAAACCCCCAGAATGGGGAATATTGAAAAACATAGTGGATAACCCGTCCTTATAGGACTGGAGTAACCACAAAAATTATGAAAAATGTCAATCGCCCTTGGGCATGCCCGCACTTGAGGTAAGACATTGATAGGTGCATAAAGTAAAATAGTCAAAGTGTTTACTGTAAAAAGTGATCACTTGAATTAAGATAGAGTTTTCCCAATATACCTTGCAATAAGTTAGAGATGCCTTTAATTTAGGCTGATATACTTAAGATAAGTGACGGAACAGTAAAAATTCAGTAATGTAATTGCATGTACCACTAAATGTAAGTGAGTGGATGAACAATACTGCCTTGAATTAAGCAGTGAAGACATGGTTTTAATGGTTTAACACTTGCAATAAGTCATTGGCACTTAATTTAAAAAATGCACAGAATCTGTACCTGCTAGTTTTACGTGCAATACTCCAGTCACTCACTAGTAAGTAATATCCATAAGTAACAATTGAATTTGAGTGCATTCACCTATAATCTAGTGCATGGAGCATGCAGTAAACCAGTTTTAAGTGTGCTATTCCAGTCCATTGTACTAGATTTAAGTTAATATCCATAAGTAACGACTCAATTTGGGTGCATTCACCTATAATCTAGTGCATGGTGCATGCATGCAGTGAACCAGTTTCAAGTGTGACATTCCAGTCCAATACTAGATTTAAGTAATATCCATAAGTAACGACTCAATTTGAGTGTTCTGATATAGAACTGATTAATTGCTGCCAGTTTAGAAATTTACCTCAATTTAAGTGCACACAACTAGTTTTATGCACTCTCCTTTTGTTTTCAGTGTTTGTGTATCCTTAAAATTAAGTTTGGTAAGTCACTGTTTTTTAGTGTATTCTATACTTAAAGTGTGCATCCCTCATTTTAAGTGTTCTGTAGCAACACAAAGTTACAACTCAATTTAAGGCCACAGAACTTGATTTTAGGGGTTGTTCCTTATGTTCAGTGCTAATAAGCCCTAGATATAAGTGCACATACCACTACCCCATGGACAAGCATTTAAGTGCAAACCACTAATTTTCAGTGAATTTTATGCTTAAAATAGGTGATCACTCTTTACAAGTGTTCATAACTTTTAATTTAAGTATTAAAACTTACCTTAACCGAGCGTCTGCAAAGCATTGATAGGTATCACAATTCTACGTTTTAACGCTTCAAATTGACAAGAGCAAGTCTGTGTATTTTTTTTTATAAGCTCGATTGACGGAAACGTAAGCTACACGTAGTATTTCTCGATATTTTGTCCGCCAACTGTTTTGCCTCGAGGTGTCACGGTTAGCGCCGTTGAAGCTCTTTAAACGAGTTCCAATTAAGAAAGATTTTGAGTTTCAAAACAAAAATTGATCTAGATCTAGAATTCAATAATTAATTAAAAAAAAAATGGTTTACAGACATTTGAAATTTTCTCAAAATCAATTTATAATGTAGATCCGTTCTAAGAAAGTTTCATTACAGTAAGGCAAAATGGCGGCAAAATGTCAATGACACTAGGTGACACATGCATCAAGGGAAAAATACACTTTCTTACATAATATTACCTTCAAATACATCATAACCTGTACAGGATCCACTTAGCTTTGATCAGAATATTCAATCACACCCTCTAAAAATTGTCTTTGCCTCAATTTATATAAACTTCGCTCGTGTGCAAGCACAGCTCCTCCACTTCTGACCTAGGCTCAGTCTCCAGCCGTCGGGATTTCGTGCGCCCGCAATACTCTCTATCGCGGGAAATCGCGGGCGCACKAAATCCCAATCTCGTACCCAGAGCCCGCACTTTTGCCATCCAGCGGATGTCAAGACTCTGGAGTAATCACAGGGAGCCCAAGCAGTGACTTTGAACTTATAATAGTTAAAAATAAAATTTTACTCAAAAAAATGGTCTACTTTTATTTTATTTAGTGTCTTAATGCATTATAAATGGGTTTTAAAAAATATCCCCGACCTATATATATATAGTGAGTTTGCTGAAGAAGGCCGAAGTGCCGAAACGTTCATTAAAAAGTAGAAAACCTAGTTACAAGTTGCGTGGCTTTTTCTTCATTTATTCTATTTATATATAGTGACTATATATAGAGTTTGCTGAAGAAGGCCGAAGTGCCGAAACGTTCAAATAAAGAGTAGGAATAATAGTTGCAAGTTGCGTGCCTTTTTCTTCAATTTATTCAATTTATATATAGTGACTATATATATATGTAGGTAGGGCAAGGGCGCTAGAACTGAAATTATGATTTATAAGATCCAAAAATTGCTTAATTTATCCAACATAAGATAGTCGATAATAAATTGTAAAGTTTTACTTATCTGAAAAATACACTGAAGTGAAATGTTTTCTTAGGCACTAAAAAGCACTTGATTTTACGAAATTCATCCAAATGATCGTTACTCAAGTTGCTGAATTTATTACCGCTGTCCTTGTTGTACCAGCCACTGCTGTCTCGCTAGGAACGTTATAAATTAACCGGATTAAAATCACTTTGAGGGCAAAGTAAATAAGAAATTCACAAAGTTTGGTGTTAATTGGTTCAAATATAGATGATTGACAGCTTTCAAAAATTCTAGATTTTACAAAATGTATKGGAATTTAGAAAAATCCGGACGCAGCGTCAATTTCTTCGGAAATTCTAGTGTTTTTGAAAGGCTGTAAATCGTTTAATATCAACCTGACTGATCTTTCGTTCTATTAAAGTCTTATCTCACCGTCGTGCGAATTAAAGGAATTGTACCCAGTCTCCCACGGTATGAAATCGGGAAATAGCATTTCCATTTTCAACATTTTCTGGGGTATAATGCACAGACCCCACCTTCCAAAATATTTGCCACGGCTCCTGACGATGACTATGGATAGAAGTTCAATGGTCTCTCGCTGTGAGAGGTTTTTGTCTACTTGTCCATCGCCGGACTTCGGCGTCATAAACAGCTCCCTCTCCACTCACTCTAGCCTGAGTATCAGGCTCTCTCGAAGGGGTTTAGGCTCCGCCCTAAACCCATTCGAGAGAGCCTCATACTCATACTCAGGCTACACTCACTCCATATAAATCATATGCTGAGCGGGAGTACCCTGCAATTAATGAATTGCTCCTAGGCTATAGTTGGGGATCAAAAGAGTAGACCATAAATAAAGAAGACTGCTTTATTGAACGGCTTTAAAACTGAGGTACAGCAGTAAAATCATTAAAATAACATGACACATTAATTATGTATAGCAACTATGCCAGCATGCATAGTGCGAAGGTTTTAAAAAGAATGGCCGTACAGAAATAACAAAGACGCTTCACGGCATAGCTAGCGGCCGAAAGCAGAAGACATATTACCGAATGAGTTGACAAAATAGTAGAGTACAAACAATAAAAGTGCTGAAAGTGTGCAACATATATACCAGTAAATACTGCTAAATTATAGATAAACAGGTAAACAGTGCAATACGTTGCACAAAATTAGTATTGATGCTCTGGACTGATCGCACTTAAACCGTGCAAGTGTACAAACTAAATAGTGCTATATACACCTACTTGCAGAAACGTTGTCATAGAAAATAGAACATTCGAATTTAGTCAAAAGGAATAAATTAAAACAAGACAAAAGAAAGTGTTCAGCCTCAGTGATCGTCTTTTGTCTTTTTAATTTATTCCTTTTTACTAAAATACAAATGTCCTATTTTTTATGACGACGTTTTCGCAAGTAGGTGTAGTTTTATTTAGTAAATCGTGTGTGCGGTACGCAAATTAGAATTGATACAAATGAAGCATTCAATATCGTCTTGCTTCAGGTCCACTTTTAGTACAAATTAGTACTACTTGAATTTGTATAGTTGCAAGGTTTAAGTCCGACCACTCTAGCATCTAACTTCACAACAGAGTAGACCAAAAGTTACGACGTAATTTCATATTGTATGCTCGCTCATAATACACTAACACAATATAAAACAGCAGACGAGTGTCAACAACTTAACAGCGAGCCTACGATAGAAAACCAAATAGAAGGAAAGAGCTACGATCTATGCCAACAAACTTAAACAAAAAGGAAGTCTTATCATTTTGATTCGTTTTCCGCGACTCTCCCTCAAAAAATACGGTAATAGTTCACAGCTTATAGGTCTTATAGTCCTACTGAGGTAAACAAAGAGCAAAAAAAAAAAAAAAAACAGAAAAAGGACAGAGACAAACCCTCCAAACAAATTACATTATCAGTTGCAAAACAATGGAAAATGCTGTAAATAGGGACTAAATAAATTCCTTTTGCTAACTCTTGAAACTCATTCGTTATGGTAGAAATCAATAAACCGCTTGACAAAATAGCCGCTGCTCATTAGCATAAATTGTTTTGCACTCGAACACCAAAATGACCCCTTAAATACTTAAGAGTATACTTCTCTTAGAAGCTGCATAAAATCCTAGTAAGTTACAATAAAAACCAGCAGAGATATGAGTTTCTCAAAACGGAAACATTTACAGAGAAATGTATATCAAGTTTCACGTTTTCCTCATAAGTATATATTTCATTGTTCATTTTGTCGTTTACATTGAAAAGTAAAATTTTGCTAATCAGCGGCGCCCATTTTGGCAAACGATCTATGACAAAAGGATTTATAAGCTGCAAACTACCGTAATATGACATAATAGATAAATAAACAACAATTCGAAAAATCAAAAAAGGTAATCATAACTTAAAAAGAAAACATCCGATTGTTCACCTGTGAATAGGTGGATTTCGCTCACCGTGCTGACATAGACTACGAACTTTAGAGTTCGCTGTCTGTCCCCGCGGCGATAAAGTGCTAATAAATTCAAAAGCGAATTTAAAAAAAATATATATCGTTCTGTTCCCATGCAGAAATAGACGTGGACTCCGAGATTTTTACCCATCGAATATACATTAGACAGATGAAGTTATTAGTATAGTAAAATGGTGATAAAACTTTTGAAGATATATTCGCCTAGCCTAGGGTGTATACCACGTATTCCTGGATAAGAACAAAACTAATTAAAAAGCTGTAACTGAAGCTCTGCAAAACCAAAGCGGTGTTACAATCAGTGTAGAGCGAATAACATGCGTTTGCTTTGTTCAACCAAAGTACGCAGCAAAGTGGCATTGCAAAAACGAATGCTTTTAGAAGCCTTGTACAACCAAAGACAAGTACAATAAACACGAACAGTGACAGGATGGGCCCAGTAGAAATGGACCCCCTTCAATGACCTAGTTTACCCTAATTTTGATCGCGTTTTAAGCGTTTTACGTCATTTACGTGACTTGACTCTTTTGCAGCCATATTTGAAGTGCTCACCAAAAACTCCTCCAGAACTGAATGACTTGATCCTAAGATTATTTAACTGGATCCTAAGTTAGCGACTCTGCTGTTACACCTTTGAATGCAATCCTAATGATCGTGAACACTCTGACAGAACTGCAAAAGAGCAAAGCAACTCCAAGAAAACTACTGCAATCATATTAAGTAATTTGATTCTTAGTGCCTATCAGCGTGATGTTAAGTGCTGAGCGATGCATTGACTGCTCAAAACAACTATCTATAGGCAAGCAGATCACGTCTCCATTCAATTCATCATGCCTTCTTCTCCAAAGATCAAGTATTCGAAATGTATATTCTTATTATTTTGACTGATCCTCTGCAGAATCAAAGATTCAGTTTCCTAATCCATCGCTATTCGAATGTTCGATCAACTGAGAAGTCGGCCATGATTTAAATAAGCTGCAATTAACGCTTTTAATCAAGCTTTCTACAGCGTTTGACAGCGCCTTAAAATTACGCCAAAGGTGCGCTTTAAAACAGTACACCAAAATTAGCGCACACAATGCGCATTTTCTAATTCATTTGCCATGCACTGTACAATCAATGCAGCGATAATTTGGCAAGCAAATGTGGGCATTGGAGAATCAATGCATTTCAGCTGACAACACTGAAGCCTAGCAGAGCATTGTAGAATCAATGCGTAGACAAACCAGCTCCAAGCTAGTTTCATGTGCCCACCTCACAGAGCGAATATTTCCTACCAGCTGTTTTATAGCGTTGTACTGGCTTTGGGTGCTTTAATATTCTACATGGAAGAATGTCCCACTCTTTTGTATCGCAGGTTTGGATACGACGTAGCAGTAGACGTAGAGGTACTGGGACCAAACACGGGGTCTTCATCTTCCGAGTGGCTTTAAAATAAATAAATGTATAACATTGAATGGACCGAGTGAATGACTGGAAATAAAGGAATAAATTCATCATCGAATAAAAAAATGACAAATGAACAAATGACAGAAAAAAATCTATTTTACAGAATTAATCATAACGCTCACATATGTAGCTCAGCATCTCATTGGGTAAAATTCTTGAAAGTCCTACTATTTAAAACTGATTTCGTTTACCGGTAATCACCTCTTCAGTTGATTTGAATGAAGTGTTATTAACAACAGTCTCAAAGCTAAAAATGTTTCAATTTAGTGCGTAAGGACAAAGGATAGAATTGACTAATAATGAGTCCTTTAAAGTCTCGGCAAAAGACGTCATTTCTACAAAATCTTCAGTTGGTCGATAGAGGCGAAAGGTGATTTTCATGGTGAGAATACTGTACTCATACAGAAAGAATTACATTACAACCATGTAAAACTTTTTTCTTAATATAAAAAGACAATCTATCGGAAAAGAACTATCGCTAGTTATGAACTTCTGGCACAGGTCAAAGGAACAAACAAGTACGTCATGATGACCGGCGAATCAATGGATGAATCATAAAAATGAAAGAAACTCGACGCGTTGAAGTACATTCTAAACTTTATTCGCACTTACTGTATAGGTGTTTCCTCCATGAACTGGCTCTCGAGCTGTTCTTTCATCGTCATCAAAAGGTTATAAACACGGATATCCTTTCCCTGATGAAAACATGTAGTGCTTAGTATCAAACCGACTAACAACCACAATGAACAGCCAATAGATTGACAGATAAGCAAATAAAAAAGAAACCAAAAGGAGAGCAAAACAATATGTATTATAACAAGTCATAAACAGAATAAAAAGAACAAGTGTTAGTCTTACCGTGATCGTCCATTCCTTGTCACCTTCATCTCCACTGGATGTTGCCCTTTGCTTCTTGGAAGACTTTCCCTGCCCTAAAATAATCCACTATGAATTATCATAGAAACCTTAATCAATAATAACGAGAAACAGCACTGATAGAACAAGAAAGAGGCTATCAACACGATGCTACTGCAGATGTGGTGATGGAGAAAACGAGAATATTGACAACTACATCACTGATAATTTCAGCAATAAGATGATTATGAACTTTAAAAATCAAAAAGAAGGTCATGATGATGATAATGATAGAGATAATCGGGACTATAATGATATAGTGGCATTCATGACCTTCAGTGCTAGCAGTATAGTGCACCTACATAAAATCTATGTAGTGGGTAACTTTAACCAGTTGATAATTTTATTCTTCAGTCATTCAACTGGCCTCTGGTTGTGATACCTTTTTTTCTCTTTGATGAGGCAGAAGTTGATGATACCCCTGATAAACTTTCGTTTGACTTCCGGTCACGCCCTGGGCATGCACAAACTCTGATTTCCACTACACGGCGGCCAAGTGTGATACCACTGTCAAGAACCCATAATTTCTCATTAATAATACTTTCTCATTAATAATACTAACGGAAATTGAAGTACACATAATAGAAGATCTAATAATAATACTATGAATGAGATGACAAAGATTATTATGTGACAATCAGAGCAAAAGACCCTTTGCCAAAATGGCCAGCGCTTAATAGTACCTGCTCTAAAGAGTAAAATAAACGTAAGAACTTAAAAGAGGAAGTCAACCTACTCTTTCTCTAAAGTAAATATGATTTCCACAGGTCTTCTGCTTGGACCAGAAGGACAACTAGAGAAACACATGAAGGCAAACATCTCTGTGACATACTCTGTTCCAACTGAAAACAATGAGCAAAACACAGAGTTAGGCCTGTCTGGGTTAAATGTTGTACTGTAAATTACATAAAAAGAGTGGATAAAAATGTACAAGAGAATTGACAAGCTTCTACTAACCTTGAGGGCCGTGATATGGAATGACCACAGAGTGGCGACCTGACTCAGGACATGTGTGGTAATGTGCTGCTGGGTTGTTGCTTCGGATGAAGTGAAGGTTGTTGTCACTACCTGGGACGAAATAAAAAATGAAAATGAAAATTATTGAATTATTCCTACTTTCAAAAATGATATCCTATTAATAAGCCCTCATCTAAACTAAACATTTGACTCAAGAATCGCAATATTCATTTTTACTGTCATGCAGGAAGTTTCTATTTCTAAATAAAAATATCAAGACTATACTGTAAATTGATTTCATTTTATTTTAATTTGCAATTTTACTTTTTTATGATTTGACAATGTATAAAGTAAATAATGCCTTTTTAAAAAGTTCCTGAAGAAAACTTACAATCCTCATTGATAACTGACACATACTCACTGACAATTCCTGGAAATTGATAAATTTTCATTATCATCATTAAAACAATCATACTACTTACTATCACCAGATGTCTGGCTGTGGTTAGGGCATCTCTTGACAATGTCATGCAAGTTAGTTGAACCCTTGAACACAGCTACAGCCCTCAAGTAACAGCCAAGTGGTGGCCCTAAGTCTGTTTTGAACTTGATAGGACAAAAACTTGCAAGATTTACGTAAAGCTTCTTGCAGCTCTCTGAGTATGTCCAGGTTGCTGACTTAGATGCTGACTCAGTTGCTGGGCCAAAAGAGATTGCAAAGCCCATCTCACCTGGGTATTCAGTAGTGCTAGGAATTGTGGGTAGATGGGAGTTGTAGGGCGAATGGCCAGGCGAGAGATCACTTTTCTGAAGAACAAGTGTCAGTTATGGTTATTACTAGAATATTTAGTGCATAGTAGTTGTAGTAGAACCTTTTTTACCCAATCTGTTTGCAGCAAAAAGGATCCAGAAGAACTATGCACACTGGGTCACACTGACATTGTGCATAATGAAACATAACGGAATTTCAGTTGAATGAGCAAGCTTAATCTTACAAACATAAAAGTTTAATCATTTTATTACAAAATAATTAGCACAAACACAAACCCTTTTACATTATGGGTTTATTTTACAGTTTTTTTATTTAAACTTTTAAGCTAATTTTCTCAACAAAGATCAACCTATTAGATAGTGCAGTGCATGCACTTGCAAGTTTCCTTTGACCAACAGTTTAACAGAGCGTGATAAAAAGGGATTGCTTGATTGGAAAGTTAATTTTCATTTTCATTCATTAGGTTATTTTCTAATACAATAGCTCCCCTCAGAGTTCCTATTCCATTTTGAATGGTACATTTGCAGTGAAGTATGCTAGCAATGGTAGATATGTGTAAAAGTTGATTTCTGTTCAATACTCCAGTTTCGAATTCATAGCGCAAAACCGCTGCTTTATTTGACAACAGATTCTCTTGCGCCAAGACCTTACAAACACAAAAGAGAGCACGAGAAAATGTCGTTATTACAATAGACTTGAAAATTTGCATTTTCCCCTAGTTGAGACTAACCCTGTATTCCCATGAGACCTAAGGTATGAGCCTTCTGGGAATACAGGGTTAGCCTCAACTSGGGGAAAATGTAAATTGTTAGCGCTATTGTACAAGCAACATTTTCTCATGCTTTCTTTTGTGTTTGGTAAGGTCTTTGCGTAAGAGAATCTGCTGTCAAATATAACAGTGGTTATTCACTTTGAATTCGAAACTGGAGTATTAAATATCTTTCTGTTCCTGTAAGTTCAGAGATTGTAACGGCCATTCTGAAATTCAATAATGCCTTGTGCTTAGTCACAAACGCAGTTTAAAGCAAACAAGAAACGGATTGATTACATGACAAGAACATACCAAAATTAGTAAAGCTTCAGAGTTTGTGGGTATTTGGATGGATAATGATATTACAGAGGGGCAAAAAAATTTCAAATGTATTGAGCTTTTGAGCAGCATCCCAAAAAAACATACATTCTCTCTTACTTTTACAAATATCATAAAATTGCTACTTAGTCAGTATTCAACCAATAGGATCAAACTTGACAAGAACATTGATTGTAGTATGGTCTCTCATGTGATGAGGTTAAGTGGTCAATTTGTACAGTCTCTCTTTGAATTTCGGAATGGCCAATTGCTTCAATGCAAACTATAGTTAATAATAACAAAGTCTTACATTATCATAGTGCATATCAGACTGGTTTGATACAGGAGACACTGGTGTCCGACGCCCAGCAGTGTTCACATTAGTGTACATGGGTCCTTGAATATTCTGTGGGTATGCTGGTGGACCTGTAGTTTGTGGAGGAAAGTCACCATGACTTCCATATGGAATCTGAAAATATGGCAGACACTGTCATGTAATTCTACAACAATAGTTGGTTAAGAAAACACACCAAGAAAAAAGATTATTTGTTTATTATGTTTTAATTAATTTGCACAATATTTAAAGTTACGAAAATGTCTAAGAGTTTATTGATGATTATAATCTAGTATGTACTCCATAATGAGGTAAAGTCCACCTCACCCAATTTTTTTTACATTTGGAAAAAAAAGTTTAGTAGTTATGAACCACAAATTCACATAAAAAATATTCAAATTTCCAAATTCTATATTTTTTATGCTCGTTTAATTCGGCCAAATTATTTTTGACCGAGTGCGAGGGAGACTGGGTTGACGACGTAGATGGAGTAACTCAACCTTCGGTGAATACAAAGTTACAATACTGTACAATTTCCCCATATTTCATTACAAATCTATGTTTTCTAAGACTGAACGTGGGATAATCCAACCTGGAACGGCAAATCTAATACTACTAGAGATTAGTCTGACAATCTGAACGTTATTTAATGTCTTGGCTATAAAAATGGAGCCAAAGTGTTGAGAGATTATCCTGGACGAACAAGTGTTGCGTAGATCTAGGTCTATATCGAGGAACAGGAAAAGTTATTTACGGCCCGAGGTAAGTCACTTCTTTCGATATATGTAGGTAGTATTTACAGCTGTTCAAATTCCAGGTTCTCTCGTTTCAGATTTGATTTTTACTGTCATTTCACTGKARSTATCTATYGTTGTCTCTCGAACGACTTACTCCCTCTACGTCATCACGAAGACTTCGATCAGACCCACAGGAATCCCGAAATTGGCTTTCTCCGCGGTTGTTTTCGCCTCAAAATGTAGTTTAAATAAACAAAATCAAATTTGTTTACATACAAATTGTTGTTACTATAACAAAAGCCTTTTCTTTCCAAATATAAAAAAAATTGGGTGAGGTGGACTTTAACATATTCATCCCTAATAATGCTGGACTCCTTTAATGAAATTGGAGATTTTAAAACCGTATTGTGCTTAAAAACTAAATTTTGTAAAACTTGAAATGCCGTGCTAATCATCTAAAATCTATATTAAAGAGATATACTAGCAACAGAGTTAGGATTTTCGAGTTGGATTTTCGAGTTGGATTTTCGAGTTGGATTTTCGAGTTGGATTCTCGAGTTGGATTCTCGAGTTGGATTCTCGAGTTGGATTCTCGAGTTGGATTCTCGAGTTGGATTCTCGAGGATTTTCATTTCATTTATACTATATACATAACAAAAACATATAGAGATATTAAAGCTTCATGTTGGTGTTTTATGTATATATTTTTCGCTTGAAAACGTAAAAAATGGATAACAATAAACGGATGATTTGTTTGTCGTCAGATTATGACAGGATATAAAGCAGATCTAGACGTTAAACAAAGATCTCAGGTACAATTTTTCGTTATTGTTATCAGTTTTCTATGAACTTCAGAGAAATACCTACATGGTTCATTCAGGCACAAATAATGGAGATATTACCACGGACATTATGCCAGATCACCTACTGACGTATTTCCCCGCACAGTGATAATCAACATAATAAAGCATCGGATTTCAATAATATATTTCAAGGGATACGCTAAAAATATATACAAATATAAGTAGAATAAAATTAGATAAAACTTGAAGCTATAATATCTCTGTTTTATTTAATATATGATATATATACAGCTGTTTGCAATAATTCTGACCCCCTCTACCATATTTCAAATATATCAAACTGACCTTAAATATTATGGGATATCATGATTGATATATTTTTTGAGTTGTCCAGCATGAGTACTTTCTAAAAAAAATATCAGCAATGGTATCCCATAATTTCTAAGGCTATTTTGATATATATGAATATTAGTGTAGGGGGGTCAGAATTATTGCAAACAGCTGTAAATAAAATGGAAATCCTATACGAAAATCCAACTCGAAAATCCAACTCGAAAATCCAACTCGAAAATCCAACTCGAGAATCCAACTAGGTATCCTCTTTTATTTAATATATGATATATATAAATAAAATGGAAATCCTATACGAAAATCCAACTCGAAAATCCAACTCGAAAATCCAACTCGAAAATCCAACTCGAAAATCCTAACTCGAAGGATAGGTATCCTCTATATTAAAAATTTCCCTAATACTAGTCTTCCTTCTCAGAGCATTAAATTCAATTTGTGAAATAGACTGTTCCTAAAAATTTTCTTCAAACTTTATTCACAAATAATTATATTCATCCATACTCAAATTCAGTGATCACAAACAAAGCATTGATCCAAGGTCTCATGGTACAATGAGCATGAAAGAAAAGATCTTTGTTATCAATTGCTTCATGACACCAAGGTTCACACTTTGTTCCTGGTCACTGAAGATGAGTATGAAAAGTTGTGACTGTTGATAGATGATATACTGCTTTGCCATTAATCTAAAATCAAATTCATGAGCAGAGCATGTTCACAATTTAATTTGAATATGAACATAAAAGAGAAATTAATATCTACAATTTTGCTCCTTCTTGAAGGCATTGGGAGCTCTTGATCATTTTCCATTTTGTTTCAAACTCAACAGATAACAATATTAATTAGCGGAGATCATATCCAAACCAAAATAATCCTATTATAGCTTATAAAGCATTCTTGTGTTTCCTGTGTTGAATGTATTATCACACAAGGGTTTATACTACTTTGGAGTGAATCGTTCTACATGTAATAAATACAAAGAGTCTAAGATTTATATTTAGTGTGTTCACTGGTTTGTTATATTGTATTATGTATAATTTCAATGATCCATGTAAAACAAGTGATTCTGAATTCAGTAATTTATCAGTATGCAGTARGACATTGCATTGTTATCTTATTGCTTTCTTGCTTGATATATAAGACATCCAATCTAACCGAAAGTATAAATGCCTTATTTTCATGTACTAGGGACAATGCTTGTATTCAAAAAGAGTACTGTTTATACAACCAACATTCACTGAATCTTACCGGGTAACCTGGGAACATACTTCGAATTTCTGGATTAAAATCTGTTTCTATATCAAAAGAAATATAAGATTATGAAGAAGTTTTAAGATCAACTTATTTACAAAGCATTTTGCAATCCAATACGTTCACTGATACATTAAGCATGCTATTTACAACAAGCAGTGGGATAAAAAGTTCATTTTGAGAATGGCACAGCATGATGAAATTCATACATATATTTTACGACTATGCTATGGAGCAATATAGATTATTAAATAGGTAGATAATGAATGCCATAGATACATGCAAAGTTAATCAAACAATCAACAGAGATAAACAATGTACATATCCTGAAAATTACTGATTGGTCTTCAGACAACACAGCTCTTATAGCATCATATGACCCTGGATTACAACCATAGTACAGTAGCTTGAACACATTGTTTTTGAACAGAAACTATACCAATACACACCAAACGTTGTGAATCCAAATTCACTTTCAAATATTTTGGAAAGTCCCATGATCATAACTTTCACAGGTTTCACAGTGAATTATTATAGCAATGGTTTAGCATAGCACAGCAGTTTTTAGGTGATATTAGAAACTTGACACGTGCCTGTGTAATAGTATACTAGTTGGCAACTTAGTGTCAAGGGTACACAGACGTGCTGAAAGGCCTGATGATACAAGGATAGGACTGCCAAATCATGGTGGATGAAATACAGTGCAAGTCACGTCAATCATGAAAAATGTGTAACAATGTTTGGAAAGGGGAAGGAATGACCACAAAGGAAAAAAGATTGACACAGAAAGTGAATGAAAGTGAACACAAATAACCCATTGGAATGGGGGAGGAAAAGAAAGGATATTTAAAAAAAACATATACTGAACAGACTGAAGAGAAAGATGACATGTTATTCCAATCACAAATTTCTGACATTAAAAGATAATACACAACAATAAAGCTCACCTTCACCACCAACGTTGAAAAAACTGTCAAAAACAAAATAAGAATTAGAACAAACAAAAGGAATGAGGTACAAAAACACGAAAAAAAGAAATTGTTTTCTTAAAGCATTATTTGTCCATTCAAATAACTTCTTAAGTAAAGCCTATCAATTAAGATTAGGAAAATGTGCTTATAAAAGCAGTCTAGAGAAAGATATTTTATTAGTAGTTTTCATATTTGAAATGAAAAAACATTCTGCTAACAAAACAATGTGAGAAAGCCCTTCCAAAAGTTTACAGATAAACTTCTTTGAAATAAAACTCTAGTCAGTATCAGCTTGTATACATACTAAAAGCAGCCCCTTAACAAAAATAGTCTTTAAATAGTACCAATTTATCAATATTTACTACTTTGTTTTTCATATTATAATCAAAATCATATGGACCTTTTCAATAAATTCCAACACCTATGATGACTAATTTTCCACTATCAGCATCAAATGTTTCTTCACTAATATATTCTTTAATTCAAGATAATCAACTGATTGCACAATTTTCAAAATAATAAATTTTACAGCAATGGCAGGAAACAAGTCATCAAAGAGAAAATCACTTAATAGCCTTATATACAAAGGCATGATATAAACAACAATTCAGTGTGGATGTTGCATGGACTCAACAATACAACATTTGGTACATTTTTTATCAGCAGGATGATATCATTCAAGTATTCAATGCCTTAATTGTGCCAGCATTATAAAAGGTCAGTTATTTCAGTGATCATTATGTGACCATACAAAGCAACAGTTTAATGCACATTAGAATGTTTCATATTCAAGTTTAAATTATTAGAACGTGTAGGTTTATAGACCTGTATATATTTTACAGTGGTACAGAACTTTTATTAGTATGCATATAATGAATCTCGTTTGGATGGGATTCAGATAATTCATTGTTTGCAACTGGCTTATCTTTTGAATGACCTTGTACATAAATTAATTGACCTTTTATTGCCAAAGCACAATAGATTGAGTTGCCAATAACAATATAACTAGAAGGGACTATTATTTAACAACTTTATATCCCAAACTAGCATGGATGGCAAAACTTTTCAATGGCACTACAATAGCTTGATTATGTAGACATTACAAAACATTGGTATCATGACCTTGGTATAATAATAGAACTTATCATGGTACAACATAGTACAATAGCCTGATAACACACAATGGGCAAACTGGGCACAATTTGTAATTGATAATTAGCTTAAATTGCATGTGAATTAAGCAATTCTAAGGACATGTGGGTCAATTGCCACTTGTAGTAGGAAAATGATTAGGATTATCACAACCATGTTCTTGCAAGATAATAACTTTAAAGCTGGGTTTAAAAGTAATTTCTATAAAGAAATTAAAAATTCCTTTTTTCTGCTCATCTTAATAATTGTCTTAGTCACTAGAAGACTAGTCAAATGTTTGTCTCATATGCAATTATATCAATAATTAATAATGCATAAAATATGTACTTAATTTTCAATAAAAATCCAAAATGGCTTTTGTTAGAGATAATCCTGTTTGACCACCCATGACTTTTAACTGGCATAACCCATTATTTTTGATTTGATGTCTCCATTTTATATTTGATAATATTTATCGCAAAAAAACTCATCTGAAATACTAAGTATTGAAAATTTATCCATAATTTACTGGTTGTTTAAGATACTTGGCTTAATTATAATGATCAATATTCATCTGTATAAATCTGTATACTAAGTTCTCTTTGCTATTGTGGCCCCCTATCAACATGAACTTTGGCAAGTAATTGAAACATTAGAGTCCAGCTGATTTGATGGGATGTCATAATAAACACACAAGAAGGGATAACTGCATAATCAGCAGAACTGAAATAATATAGTGTATCTATGAAATACTTATGTATGGCATTATACGATCTATTAAAATCATATCTTCATTTTTACTACATTTTTTGTACTTTTACAAAACATTCTACAACACAAATCCTGTACAAAATTTTCTTCAGCACTCCTCAAGTTACACATACCCCAAAGGTTCCAAGTCATATTGTATTCAAAATAGTATTTGAAATGGAGTCCTAAGATGCCAAATGACACCTACCTCAAATCCATTAACTTGTCAACCATTTCTAGTTCTTCTTTTCTCTTCATTGTTAAGTGAGAAGCATTAAAAAGTATAATACTATAGTATATTATAGAGTGTTTACATGGAGTTTCATTTGAACCCCTCTTCTGGGAAAGTCTGGATAAAATAACAGAAATATGACACCTACTGTAGACATGGTGAAATACAATATCATTAGTCATCCTTGTTTGACCTCTATTTGGTATACACAAAGGGAACCAATGGCAACCAGTGTTTGACTATTAAAAAGTCCCTTTAAATAGATCTGCATTAAGATAATCACTTACTAATAAAATATCTTTTACTTAATGGCTATGGATGAGTTCCTTTGCCTATTGGTAATCTTAAAGCATTTAATAAATGACATGTGCACCACAATGACTTTTATGATCTGATTGAGAGCTTGTATGCAATAAACATGCTTTTGTTGTTTGTTTATGCCATACAAAAAAGGTGGAATATACTAAGAATGAACATGCAAACACAGTTACAATTCTGCAAAACAAGACAGCCTCTTTAAGAATTTCTGTAGTAAAAAAAAAGAGTTTAAAAGAGGCTTTGCAATCATTTGTTTGATTTTATAATTATAATATTTTCATTGTTGAAAGTTGCATTCTGATTGGCCCAAAATAAAAGATGGAAATTTTCTTAATGTATGAAAGCAATTTGTAAAAGGTCCTCACATGGCTTTAAAGTAAACCAATCTTAAAGATATAAAACACAAGAAACATTCATGCAAAATAACATCTCAATAATTATCTGAGCTTGTCACAAACTTTTCAAGACCTCCTGAAGAATTCATTAAAAAAATTCAGAATATTATAGATGCTCACAACCCCTCCCCCCCCCCCCCCCCCCCCCCCCCCCCCTCCGCTTTCGATATTCATTTCATTTCAGACCCTAAATGCTGCTCTATTTTTTGGGGAGCCCCTCCTTGACATAGTCATAGCTGATTGATTGATTGATTGATTGATTGATTGATTGATTGATTTCATAGTATTAATTCATAAATCGTTCTGTTGTGCTAACTACATGTAAATTAATCAATTTTTATATGAGCAAGACATTTTTACTGATTTGTATACAACTTTAACTTTGGTTTTCTCTTAAAAATAATATATTTTTATCTTGAAGTTTTTAGCAAAATATGCTTTAGCTTCTGTTAGAATTTGGTAAGCAAGATAAAATTTTCACATCCAACCTTTATGGCCTTTAAAACTTATTGAATATATATATTGAATATTGAACATTTGGTTTTGACTTCGGTAATTGTCAACTTTTCGTGTGCTGTTTGATTAAGTAACATGCATTTAAAATGGTAAAAGTACATTTTGATTTAACCTAGACTGATTCCATAAGTCGTTATAGTAATTTGCTCTTCGATTTTTCTGTTTGTCGATGACCTCCAATGAGCGACAAAAGAAATTGACAGAGAGGGAATTTTTGGTACTGATGTATAGAATCAGTCTAGATTTAACCAAGTTGACAGCTTATTCTATATTTCCAAACATTTATTGCTGCCAAAGCATTCCTATTTTTGTATAATTCCAATGAAAACGTTGGGTCCAACTCCCTCTTAAACCCTGAAAGAGTTTATTACTAAGTAATTTATACCAACTTCACTAGGAAAAATAAGTGTCAAAATAACATGTCATGATCTGATCTGTTCTGTGATAGTTCATTTGCAAAAGAATGCAGAAAAATATGTGAAAAGACCTGAGTGTTCATGGTCCTACCTTAAAGGCAGACTTGCAAATGTATAACATCTGTTTCTTACTGGCAAGGAATAACACAATTTGAAAAATGTATATTAACACCACAAATATTACTTTAGCAGCTGTTAAAAGGTTAAGTGTAATCCTTTATGACTCCCTTTAAAGTATAGTCTTTTTATATTATTTAAATACAACTTTAACGAATTAATCAATACTGCATGCATGAGATAGTTTTCCAATCAGGGTGGTCCATAAGTCCACTCCTAGACCCTTTTTAGACTGCTCTAATGAAAGTGTTGGTTGCAGGAAAAATGATCTGGAAGAACTTGCATGCTCATGCACTGGATCATGCCAAATTATCTGTGGTGTAACTATTACTGTATTTACCCATGTATAAGCCGCACTTTTTTTCCAAAAAAATCGTTCCCAAATCGGGGATGCGACTCATCTACGAGAAGACTTGTAAAAATGCCCAATAAAAACTTATTTGCATAAATTAGCATTCACAGTGCTATTTACTGCAGACAGGACATCAGGAATGTGATAAAAGTTTGTTTTACACGATGGGAACAGAGAAATTTTAATCCAAACTTCTCAGTATTACTATAAATTCTCTGAAAATCTAGCTCTGAGAAACATAAGTCAATAAATCAAACTGAAAAGTCAATTTTATTGAGCTAAATGAGAGCATTTTCAATAGTTTTGTCTTGGAGTTGTTTTGGCAACGCGATGCTAATTTGCATTGTTCATTTAAGCGGCTTTGTCAAACTTTAAGTGAAGAATACAGGGTAAATATTTTGAATACCCAAGTAATAAGGCTAAGAAATTGTTCCTTAATACAATCTGTTTTAATATTTTTTTTGAAATACGAAATGGTTTTCGGCATATCCTTATGATTAGAAGTTTGGTGGCACAATGAGATTTATATCACTCAAGTTAATTACTAGTTTGCTTTTACCTTTTGAATGAAAAACAACTCTTCAAATATAGTAACAATTATCAATCTTAACAATTATGCCTCCAAGATCATCATACACCGCACGTTAAATAAACTGATTGTAATTGCATACGAAATGCATGGATCACGGAAATCGAGCAGTGGAACAGCACTTTAAAATCAAAGAAAGCTGTGTTCAGAAGTGGCGATCAAAAAGAGAAAAGTTTATTTTCCGCCTTTTTTTCCTCAAAAATGTTCCTAAAACTCGGGGTGCAGCTTATCTAGGAGAGCGGCTTATACATGGGTAAATACGGTAGATGCATTGTAGGACATGTTTGGGACAAAACATGGCGGATTTCTTTTGTTTTCTCTTGAAACTGATCCCACAATGCATTGAAAATCAAGTAGTGACGTAAAAGCTGCAGAGGTCTATACACCTTTACCATAATGGCCGCCATCTAATTAATATAAATTTTTAAAATTTAGAATTTTAGTCAAAGTAAACTAACAGCTGAAAGGAACCTGTGCTAATAACAACATATAAAAGTGAAATGAAAATGTTAAATTCTGGTGAATTTATAAGGATTTAAAATATATCATAACACCAGAACGAGGCTATAAAGGCCTTGGCTGAAAATTACATACATTTCTTGYATYTTCATTTSGCCATAAATTTGTTCGCATTTTATCCAGGGCTGTAAAACTTTCAAGAAGTGTTTATTTCTGGTAGTTCATTCATGACAGTGACAAAGTTTTCACATATTTCATATTCAGAAACAAACAGACAGGCAGCCATTGGTGGAAAATTACATACATTTCTTTGTATTTTCATTTCACCATACCTTTTTCCTATTTTCTGCAGAGTTCTAAAACGTTCCAAAAACGTTTATTTTTGATAGTTTGATGTTACAGTGACAAAATATTCATATCTATTTTATTTTGGAAAAACACAATTGCAGCCATTATGGTAAAGGGTAATAGCCCAATTACATTTTGATTTTCAGATATCAGCACAGGAAACCAAATAAGATTTCAGAAAATAAAAGAAACAATAAGTGTCAACTTTAGATTGCAAGACCTGAAATCAGACACAAGAGGTCCAAAGATCAAAACCAAGATGAATGGGTATAGTTACAGAAAATAATATCTGTTGTACTTCTATGGGAGGTGGCATCAATTTTTTTGTCATTCTCTCTATTGTCTTGGGAAATATAATTAACACACTATTTTAAACAACATAATGAAATCATATTGATAATCGCCTATGGTTTTTAAATTTTACAATTAAGAAGGCTGAACATTTTGATTAGTTTTGTGCCGAACGTTTTCGAACTTAATTAACAGTTCATCATCAGGGATTAAACAAAATTTTACATAAATGTGTACAGAGTTTTAAGCAGTTTTACGTAATCCCTTGGGGGAAAAGTGTTAGATGGTATGTCTCCGTTTGTCTATTCAGCGTAGGCTGGTAGCGGCTGATTAGCAACGCTTCAAGGGTCTTACGTTTAGGTGAAAAAATGGCTCTACCGATGATGGACCAAGTGAAAGAGTGGTGTTCATGCTTAAAACTCTGTACACATTTATGTAAAATTTTGTTTAATCCCTGATGATGAACTGTTAAGTTCGAAAACGTTCGGTACAAAACTAATCAAAATGTTCAGCCTTCTTATTGTAAAATAATGAAATCCAAACTGATCATTTCAGAACAATGTCATCACCTATGGTTGTGGAAATGCTTCAAAACTCAATCAAAGATCATTGCTGCTGGAATGACCAATAAAAGAAAACAAGAAAATGACCTTACCCATGGTTTTACCTGCAGCCATAATACCATAAATATTATTTTCCAGCTCATAAATTTCAAGTTTGACGTCACATCAAAACATTCTATTGTTTTAACGCTAAGGATTATGGTCACCAGAAGGGATCAGAGTGACTGCATATCAAATAAAATGTACATGAACAATCATAAATACATGATGTATATCAAACCGCGATTCATTGAAGTTCTACTTTAGTCGACAATATAAATGGGTCCAAATTTCCACTGTTTTTGAGCATCGTTTTCCGATGTAAACATACTGTGACATCATAATGAAATAGGGTAATTGCTAATCACTTCAAGACGGATCCTTCAAGACAAATAGATGATATTTTTTTTCTATATATGCACATAAGGTTATTGTTTGCAATCTTCCCCCTTCTTCCTTGGAATTCAAGGTTAACTGAATTTTGTTTTTTTTTTAGTTTTTAGTGCAACAGTTTATCACTCTATATGCCAAATAACTCTAAAACCTGAATAAAATAATTTTTCCAGGACTTCAAGATTAAAATAGCCCTAATTTGACTAACTCAATTTGGGCTTTGCACTATGGTCAGTCATAACTATAAATTCATCTATTCACATCCTCTCACAATAATTTCACACTCAGATTACGATTATCAGATTTATCCCAAATAGCAAGAACATCAAAACCCTTACCTTTCCAATAACAACTAAACCAAGGTTATTCGTAAAAGAAAAAGAAAGGTTTCGTGAAGGAAGCATCATATTCTCAAAATTGATGAAGCTGACAGATGGTTACCTTATATCTTTGACACCTCATCATATTCATACATAACACATTCCAATGCAATTATCTCACATGGAATACATTATGTATCTTGGGACTATCAATTTTTCAGCAAAGAAGATTAGAATGAATCAAATACAAATGACCATCCTGATCAAAGAGTATTAATTGCCTCTAGAGTATTATGATGAACATTAATTATATTCAACATGAATCAGTGTACATGAAATGAAAAATCTGTATTCTGTATTAAACTAAAATGAGATAAAACCATTTTGTACAATAAATAAACAGAAAGTGTTTTTGCAAGTAATAATTTAAACAACTTCTTGCGACTATGTGTTAAAAAAAAACATCAGAAAAAAATCAATCCCCATATAAGCTTATAGCACAAACAGTACAAAAAAAATCAAATTAAAAAGTTTTTTCATCTCTAGTTTTCTAACTGCAAATTGAACTATATCAAAATTGAAGTCTAATAAACTGAATTTGTGCAGGTATTTGCCTCAATGACATTAATGTCTTAAAACACTGAAGGGCCAAATGACATGATATATTGTAAAATGTTAAAAACTGCCCCTGGATTTCATACAAGGTCTGGAGTCAAAATCTCAGTTTGAAGCAATAAAAAATATTTTAGATTTCCATTACAAGAATGAGCACACAAAAGAAGATGTATAGTTGCTGCATTTAGATGAACAATTATGGAATGCTCAGCATTTTAAATGAAAAAAATAAAAAAAAGGTATAGAACATTAGTGTAGCATTCAAAAAATTGTTACTTGGTGAGTCAGTATTCTATCGAACAGGATCGAACTTGAAAATTAAATGCTAATTTCAGTACAGTTTTTCATATAGCAGGGTTTAGCAGAATATTTTCATACTTAAATAGATCCAAATTCCTTTTTGATTTCTTGAAAGGCCAATAAATGAAATAACCTGCTGCATTATACAATCTTTAAAAAAATGTCCAAATAACGACTGCATCTAAACTAGAAAAACTACACATGCCATTTTATATATGCTTACTGAGTAGAAGCAGCCTTATAGATATAATAATAGCTAATTAATGTTCTGTGGCAATTAAATAGACAAATAAATTAATTAACAAACTAGTTAGCCAAAGGATGGTCAATCAATAGACTTAAGAAATGATCAATAAAGAAATAGAACATTTGGTCCTTTTTGACCCTGGCTTTATAGTTCTTTCAAACTTTAAAAATTAAAGAAATCTTGACAAGACTTAATAGACATGGCTGCTTATAATGATAAAATCAATAGTAAGTAAACAAGCATTTTCAAAATTGTCACCTGAGTTCTGACAACTGAAAAATAGAATAGATCATTATTTTAAATTTGGGGGTTCACTATTGTTTGAAGTCATCTAACCTCTGTAGAACTGGGTATAGAATAATATTATTTCTATCAATTTGTACTTATAATGATAAGATCAGCACAAACACACTTTAAGATAATCCTAAATAACAATAAATGATTGACAAGTTATAAAGAGCACCTTAGAAGATCACATGTTCAACTCAAAAATTATGACTTCTTTAGATACAGTTAATTAAATTTGGCTTTCCTAATCTACTAGAGAATGCATAGCTATTCATTTGAAGAGTTAAAAAGCTTAAGTAAATCTTCCCTGACAGGAAAATCTTTTGAGAGAAAGATTACCTTAACACCCTGGCAAAGTCCGCAGTCCGTTGCTGTGCAGAGAGCGCGATCTTTCTCCAATCCGATGAGTCAAAATTTTCAAGCGGAATTTGCTCACAGATCACGAGACTTGAGGTCGTTTGCTTTTGACGCCATATCGCACAAATATAGCACGAAAAGACAACAAACCCACCCAGTCACTTTATACTTTTAGTAAACAGCTTAGAGAAGGGACTAAGTTTTCGTGAGAGAAGCTCATTTCAATACCACTGACAAAACGAAACGAATCGTCAAAATAAAGTTGGAATTTCAAGTTCCAGTAAACAGTTGAGATTTTCCATGTCATTCGATGAATATCGGAAACACTTACCAATCAAAGGGATAAATTAAATAGTTTACTTCGAAAATCTGGCGCTCCGATGATGAGAAAAAATTAGATTTGTTCTGGAAGGTTTGAAAACGTGGATCGAAAAAAGCAACTTATAACTTACTAAGCTTACGTATGTAATTTAAATTCTTTTCAAAGTTTTTTGTCCAAGATTATTGATTCAAATCCATCGCCTTACCAGGAACTTCTTGTAGTGCCTCTGACGTCTTCTAAAATAGTTTTGTAATGTTTTTCGCCGATGCCAATCGTAGGTTCAATGTTCGAGTCGTTGTCATCAGCCATCGCCTATTTCCCCGCGACTTTTCCAAGAACTCGGTCAGAACTCCTTCACAAAGCTAAGCAGAGTTCGTCTTCGTCCTAAAGAATTGAATACATTACAAATAATATTATTAACACAGCGGAAAGCTGCCGGGTCAAAGATTATTTGGAAAAGCAATTTGATGATCTTGAAGGCACAACTACGGCACAACATTTCTAGTCCAAAAAGCTCTTTGCTTCTTTGTACCACGATAAATCAGCAGAATTTCCAAAATTGAATACTCGAAATCAATTTTTTCTAAACTAACCAGAAGTACGAGATGGTTAAATATATACTCATCTATGACAATCTTTCGCAAATTTGACTAAATTACAAACTATCCCCAGGTTGTCGCGTGGAATGGGTAACTAAACAAGTAAACACTTACAAACTTTGTATACGATAGCCTTCAAAGATAGTCTAACTGATATCAACTAGAAAAAAAAATAATCAAAACGAACACTTTCATGACATCATCACTTGTTATAAACGAACTTTACGTTATGGTTGCCCGCTGAGGATTTTATCAAATCTTACGAGCTGACTGACACGGTGTTGAACGTACTCGACAACAAGGAATTCATTGGATAGTTGAATCTTCCGACACTGCCAATAAAAATATCCAAACTTGTCAAATCAAACAACAATCACAAACTAGAATTATGCTTGTTGTGAAATGTAAAGAAAAAAAATGCCACTAAAAGCTTTAGAATATTAGATAAAGTATTTAGTGCTGTGAAGTCATACTGTCATTCGTCCGTCAACGTGCACACTTCGAGCGCAAATTTGCAGCTCACTTTATGTATATAAGTATTTCGCCTCAGCAAAACTTCTCTAATTATGAGGTTATTATTTCTAAAGTGCAAATCTTTTTGTTAGAGTTTAATAAAGCGTAAATAAACTTACCGAACGGCTGTGAAATTACTAACTACCTCTTCTTCAAATAAATACACACGTACGAATGCCTTATCGGATGGAGTTAACTAACACATTGCTCTCTCAGCCAATCAGAAACGATTGCTTCAATAATGCACAGGAAGCCCACGAGATACGGAAACATCGTGGTTCAGATTCATGTTACTCCAAACTGTACATAGCACTGTACGGGAGGATTTATTTTACAGTACTTCTCGAGAATTCGCTAAATTAAAGTGAGCAATTGAAAGCGCTGTTGAGAGAGCAATTTTGCGGAAGTAGCCAACTCTGATAGCAAAACTGTCGTTTCAGCACATTTTTCGATTGATAAGCAAGAATTCCGAGAACTATTATTCTTTTTTCAGTTTCGGTACTTGAAACCCGTGAAGCTTAAATCTGGTTTGAAATACGGGATGAAGCGATGCAGTGGCATTCCAAAGATGTTTAATCAATGCTTGCTGGTTTTGCATCATCCTTTCGAAATTAACACATGTATTCTTTCTTTTCTTTTTTTTTTTTCTTTTCTTTTCCTTTCTTTCTTTTTTGTTTTTTTTTTTTTTTGTATTTCTACATGATCGCTGAAACTGCAAACTCATAGACGCTTGCATGCTCGCCTACAGCAGTGTCGGTCGGTACTACAGCATTAGTTGCTAAAAGATACCGTGACTATAAATTAAAGCATGTGGCCACCTCATGTCATTTGTGACGATTGAGTTACGTAAAACATGTTTAATATGTGTGCAAAAATGAAGAACAAATATGCCAGCTCGACATTTAGAGCGTCTCCACGATGTATCTAGAACGAGCTGGCGAGAAGCGTTGCCGAGGTGTAGCTTGACCAGGGGCGTATCGTCATTGGGGGTCCTTTCACACGAATCTCTCACTATGACGTTACATGACATCTTTATGAGGTCATCATTCTGTGATGTTTTAAAGCAATCATTGAGGAACGAAAACAAAAAAACTTTTCTTTACGGATCAATTTAAGTCTTGAAATGAATCTTCATACTTTATCAACAGTCAGATTTCTATGGTTTCAATTTTTTAATTTAAATGAAAGGGATTCATGGGCACCCTATGACCCCTTCATGTAGTATTCATTGTGGAATCTTTCTACAGATGATGTATTTAACAAGGAAATTAGTGATTAAATTTCAAAAATTCGCAGATTTCACACTATGACATGTAGGGTAGAATTGGGGTGGGGGATGGGGTGTGGGCGACATGGTCTTATATTATATATATAGATAGACTGTTTTTTTAGAAAAACATTGCAGTAAACTTAGAGACAGTGTAATTTACTATTGTAACATGCAACATAAGAAAACCTAGTTTGCCCCCAAATAAATTGTATACTCTGATTTCAAATAACCACTGTTCATGTGACATTGACAAAAACGAGTTGAATACTAGTACGATTTGAAGATTATGCACTCTAATAAGCTAGCTTGAGTCATTTTGTACATGGCAACGTGGAGAAAGTTCCATTTACAAACAATAAAGCACTGAAATGTTGGATCAATGACTATGATGAACTTTAAATCGTTATGCAATACATTGACGCACGTGCTATGTCACGCCATCAGTGTTAATAATAGAATAGTCTCGTGTGATTAAACGTTACATATCTCATAAAATACACTGTAATCGTGTATTACAGTTCTGTGCAAAATAATTTGAAAACTAAAGGCTCTTAAAGCGCGTATTCGGGCTGCAGCATGGAGCAGTCACGTAATAAATAACATCACATTCATTTCGACAATGTTGGCATCAGTTAATTGTTTTCCCATTTCTTCGTTGGAAGTCCTTTCACACGAAACTTTCACTATGATATCACATGACATATCAAACGCAAACGAATCATTGAGAAACAAGAAAATTACTTTAACCACAACTGTTCAACTTAAGTTTAAATTAATCTTCATACTAAGTCAACGGTCAGATTTCTTTGGTTGAAATTTGACTTTAAGAGGGATTCACGGGCATTCTATAACCCATGTTTGAATGTTTTTGCAAGGAAATAGTGATCAAATTTCAAAGTTTCGGAACATTTTTTCAAACTGTGACATTTGGGGCGGAAATGTGGCAGAGATGGGGTGTGGGCGAGGTCTAATATTTAATAAAGTACATTTTGAACACTATGCTCCCCAATGCACACATTGATATGAATAGTCTCATTTGTCAAATTCAAAAGAATAATTAACTCGCTATCGAGGCCTAAGTGCAACTGAAAAGGTGAATTGCATGACAAACTAGTTTGAGTCATTTTGTACATGGCATCATCGGGAAAGCAAGGCGCTGAAATGTTGTAGTTCACAGATCTAACTTTAAATCGTTATGTAATCCATAGACACACGTGTGATGTCACGCCATAGCTAATTATAGAATAGTCTCGTGTGATACGGTATCACATAGTACATATCTCACATAACACATTGTAACGTGTATTATGGATTCCTGTTAGGTGCAAATTACTTCGAAGAAGAAGTGGAAGTAGACGCTCTTAGAGCGCTTATTCGGTTTGCAGCTTAAAGCAATCACATGATAAATGACGTCTCTTTTTGTAATATGACACGTCCACATCACTGTCGACAATGTTTGTCTACCCTATTCGACATTGGATGCCACACGAAATTCTCACTATGACACCCGGCATTACATCAAAATATATTGCCTTATACAAAAACGAAATCAACTGTGAGAAAAGGGAAAAGTAGTCTTCATAATTTATCAACAGTCTACCCAGGTTCCAGAGGCTTGGCTTGTATTCTCGTGCTTATAATAGTTGAGACGTTTCCGTTAATCGAAACTTCGTTGTTGAAAAAAGAAAGCATTGACGGAAACATCTCGCCGCTGCCCGGCTCGACAACAAAGCACGAGAATACAAGCCAAGCCTCTGGAACCAGGGTATCAGTTTCCGGGCACCCTATGCCCCTTAATATTCTATTCATTGTCATTCTGTGATGTTTTAAATGGGGTGGGGAAATGGAGTGTTCGCGAGATCTTTTATATTGGAATTATTACTCCAAAACAAGATTTTTATCCAACTTGATAATGGTCACCTGAATTTTTGTTGTGTTATCAGATTATAGATAGCATATTTTCCTGTGTCTATACTCTAATTTTGCATAGCCTTGACAAAAATATGACAATAGTTGTGTAAAAAGATAAATTTAACACAGTAAAACAGTAGGAAACAACTTACTGACGTTTCGGACGTTAATCATTCGTCAGAGTAAAGAGATGAAACTAGGCTAAGAGTGGGTTTATATAATGATAGGAGCAAAAAAAGTAGACCAATAGCAACACGGTAGGCATGGTAACGGGAAATAAACCATTAAAGTAAGAGACATAAAATATTTCAATAGCAACACGTGTGAAATAAGCACGTTTTGATTTTAATAGCCAGCGTAGCAGACTTCCACTATGCAAACTAATTGCATAAAGGTTGAAAAATTAGTTTGAGTTATTTTCTACATGAGTACATGGAGAAGTTCCATTCACAAGCAGCAAAACACCGAATTGTTGTGGAATTCACCATTACTAAATCCAAGTAGACGAGAAGAACATCGTTATGTAATACGATGTAAGCACGTTTTAAGCCTCGTGGGATGTAGTATCGTATAGTACATATCTCATATAGCATACATTGTGAACGTGTATAAGATTCCATTCCCTGCTAGCAGAGGCTTACACGGTAAATTCTGTCACTTTTACGTGACAGAATTTACCGTGTAAGCCTCTGCTAGCAGGGAAAAGATTCCAGACAGTTACTTGCGAATTACTGCGCAATACTACACGATGATGTATTGGGCAACAACATAGAGCAATCACGTGATAATTGACGTCATATTCCGTTATTTAATATGACGCCTCGATAATGTTGGCACATTAGTTTGTTCCCACAGGTTTGATTTGATTTTAACCAACCAAAATGAAGTTAGCCTGAGCAGCCTTAGATTCATATTGCCAAAGAATGAGATTTCTTTTGTCATCCCGTAAAGACCGTAAATGCTATTGGAATTCAAGGTCAACTTTATTTTAAACAATTTAAACCTCCAGGCTTAGATTTAAATGTTCAGCCTTAAGTAAATAGAGGATATTACATTGGGCGCGCGGAGATCGTATCTGCAAGCAAACATGTAATATTCTATTTATCATATAATTGTATATGAAAGCAAATTATGTCATAAAATAGCTTTTTTTCACTATTGAGAAACCTGGAATGTGTTATTTTCACTAGTGAAGATATCTAGTTTACGAAATGGAGAAATATAGGTATTTCATAGATAATTATACCGTAACAGTTTCAGCGCGAGAGTGGGTTATTGGAGTTTGCCATAATCGTGAAAAGTTGCTCTTTCCAATGACTACCTAAAGCACAAAGACAGGCACGAATTCCTTAGGTCATTGGTTCAGCCCTGCCGTTAGCCTCATTAGCCGTTTGTCGTAAACGTGATGCTTTAACTCTCTATTAGCGTGTATATTACGTAACAGCTGTATTATCACGCTAGCCTGTCAGATTCACTTAAGTTACGTAAGTTACGTAAAACATACTTAAGAATTACACGCTAGCCTGAGATTTACTTGTACGTTACGTAACATAGATTTGTTGTCATGCTAGCCCGAGATTCGCCTGTGCCGACGTTTAATAGATTTTAAATAGAGGGAGGGGAGGTATACATAGGGATATGGGGTTAGCAATTTTCTGAAATCGGCAATTAATCTCAAGGTCGGGCACGGGTAGTGCACGTAATGACAAAAGATCCATTCCCAGGAGAACCGCAATCAAAATTAAGAAACACATAATTCTGCATCTTATTACATTCATTATATACAAATGCATATCTCGATCCACAACTTTTTTACTGTATAAGTACGAGCATATTATATGAGGTACGTTTTTACGCGCAGCAGTCAATTGCTAACATATGTGAGGTGTCGTGCAGTCTCTGTTTTTGCCTCTGTTATTTTCTTGTTTTTCCTTTTCTTGTTTTTCTTGTTTTTCCTATTTTCCTTTTTTTTACCGGTATTTAATTACAGTTTAGTTTGTACTGGAAAGAATCTAATAAAGGAATGGGAGAATATGATTATTCGAACCTGTTTTTATTCTCTGAGAAAGGAATCCAAATCTGGCATATCAAGTTCTACAACAACTGGAATGAAGAATGTAGCGTTGTGATATACTAGGTTGGCAACCCGTTGGGAGGGGACTCCTTTCTAAAAGGGGTCGTCCCCTTTAGAGTTTGAGATCATTATTTTGGTCCCTCTTAGGGAGATAATGACGACAATTCCACTAGCTGAGTTTTGTGGTCTCTTTCAGGGTAAGACGGCCCGAAGCCAGCGGTTATATAAGCTCATAAACTCCTGCGAATAGACGGAGTTTTAGTGTCAAAGTACAAATGAAATCGAGAAACCACACAAAATGACAGGTATTAACTGGTCCCAGCTCTTAGCGGTGAAATTTCATCACTGTCACGCGCAAGTCTTATGTAGGTTCCTTAGCTTTCAGGGAATTTTTGACGAGGACCCTGCACCCACCCCCATTTTTATAAGGGACCTACCCTAAGGGGGGTATTGGCATGACAATACAGATCCCTGTATTAAGCTCATGTCCTTCATTTAAGTTGTCAGTTACTGAATTTAATTATGTTTTATGTCCTTTTTATTTGTTTAATTTTTCACAGTTGTTATACTGGTCAAGATTGTAAAACCAACATGGCCAACCTTTGACACGAGATTTTACTCAGTTTATTTCTCAATTAATCACGTGCAGTTTCCAGAATTTAAACATTGACAACAAAGACAGGGTAGCAGGAAGTGTATTCAAGTTTCCGACTAGCATTACGAAAAAATGAATCGTTTTATATTAGTATGCCATTGCTTTAAGTTACACAATCGTCTAATACTATTCATTGAAAGTGATCAAGCTTCAGGAGGAGCCAACCGCGGTGTCTGTTCTTCAAAATAGCTGTTCTTGTACGAATTTTTTGAATTTTTTCCTGGGAAAAGGATTTTGAGCTGCATTGTTGACAATCTGCATTGTTGACAAGCAAATGTGGCGCCCTTCCTTCTTTAAAATAATTTTGTTCCTGGCAAACGTTTTTTGGTCAAAAACGGCTTATCAGTAACGTTTTTATGGTCACAAACGGCTTACATTTTTTTTAGTTAGGAAATTTTTACTTTCCTGGCAAAAGTTCTTAGAAAGTATTCCTTGGCTGGAGAGTTTTTTCCTTAATTGAATAAACCCAAA